GATGATGATGATGATGATGATGATGATGATGATGATGATGATGATGATGATGATGATGATGATGATGATGATGATGATGATGATGATGATGATGATGATGATGATGATGAGATGATGATGATGATGATGATGATGATGATGATGATGATGATGATGATGATGATGATGATGATGATGATGAGATGATGATGATGATGATGATGATGATGATGATGATGATGATGATGATGATGATGATGATGATGATGATGATGATGATGATGATGATGATGATGATGATGATGATGATGATGATGATGATGATGATGATGATGATGATGATGATGATGATGATGATGATGATGATGATGATGATGATGATGATGATGATGATGATGATGATGATGATGATGATGATGATGATGATGATGATGATGATGATGATGATGATGATGATGATGATGATGATGATGATGATGATGATGATGATGATGATGATGATGATGATGATGATGATGATGATGATGATGATGATGATGATGATGATGATGATGATGATGATGATGATGATGATGATGATGATGATGATGATGATGATGATGATGATGATGATGATGATGATGATGATGATGATGATGATGATGATGATGATGATGATGATGATGATGATGATGATGATGATGATGATGATGATGATGATGATGATGATGATGATGATGATGATGATGATGATGATGATGATGATGATGATGATGATGATGATGATGATGATGATGATGATGATGATGATGATGATGATGATGATGATGATGATGATGATGATGATGATGATGATGATGATGATGATGATGATGATGATGATGATGATGATGATGATGATGATGATGATGATGATGATGATGATGATGATGATGATGATGATGATGATGATGATGATGATGATGATGATGATGATGATGATGATGATGATGATGATGATGATGATGATGATGATGATGATGATGATGATGATGATGATGATGATGATGATGATGATGATGATGATGATGATGATGATGATGATGATGATGATGATGATGATGATGATGATGATGATGATGATGATGATGATGATGATGATGATGAGATGATGATGATGATGATGATGATGATGATGATGATGATGATGATGATGATGATGATGATGATGATGATGATGATGATGATGATGATGATGATGATGATGATGATGATGATGATGATGATGATGATGATGATGATGATGATGATGATGATGATGATGATGATGATGATGATGATGATGATGATGATGATGATGATGATGATGATGATGATGATGATGATGATGATGATGATGATGATGATGATGATGATGATGATGATGATGATGATGATGATGATGATGATGATGATGATGATGATGATGATGATGATGATGATGATGATGATGATGATGATGATGATGATGATGATGATGATGATGATGATGATGATGATGATGATGATGATGATGATGATGATGATGATGATGATGATGATGATGATGATGATGATGATGATGATGATGATGATGATGATGATGATGATGATGATGATGATGATGATGATGATGATGATGATGATGATGATGATGATGATGATGATGATGATGATGATGATGATGAGATGATGATGATGATGATGATGATGATGATGATGATGATGATGATGATGATGATGATGATGATGATGATGATGATGATGATGATGATGATGATGATGATGATGATGATGATGATGATGATGATGATGATGATGATGATGATGATGATGAGATGATGATGATGATGATGATGATGATGATGATGATGATGATGATGATGATGATGATGATGATGATGATGATGATGATGATGATGATGATGATGATGATGATGATGATGATGATGATGATGATGATGATGATGATGATGATGATGATGATGATGATGATGATGATGATGATGATGATGATGATGATGATGATGATGATGATGATGATGATGATGATGATGATGATGATGATGATGATGATGATGATGATGATGATGATGATGATGATGATGATGATGATGATGATGATGATGATGATGATGATGATGATGATGATGATGAGATGATGATGATGATGATGATGATGATGATGATGATGATGATGATGATGATGATGATGATGATGATGATGATGATGATGATGATGATGATGATGATGATGATGATGATGATGATGATGATGATGATGATGATGATGATGATGATGATGATGATGATGATGATGATGATGATGATGATGATGATGATGATGATGATGATGATGATGATGATGATGATGATGATGATGATGATGATGATGATGATGATGATGATGATGATGATGATGATGATGATGATGATGATGATGATGATGATGATGATGATGATGATGATGATGATGATGATGATGATGATGATGATGATGATGATGATGATGATGATGATGATGATGATGATGATGATGATGATGATGATGATGATGATGATGATGATGATGATGATGATGATGATGATGATGAGATGATGATGATGATGATGATGATGATGATGATGATGATGATGATGATGATGATGATGATGATGATGATGATGATGATGATGATGATGATGATGATGATGATGATGATGATGATGATGATGATGATGATGATGATGATGATGATGATGATGATGATGATGATGATGATGATGATGATGATGATGATGATGATGATGATGATGATGATGATGATGATGATGATGATGATGATGATGATGATGATGATGATGATGATGATGATGATGATGATGATGATGATGATGATGATGATGATGATGATGATGATGATGATGATGATGATGATGATGATGATGATGATGATGATGATGATGATGATGATGATGATGATGATGATGATGATGATGATGATGATGATGATGATGATGATGATGATGATGATGATGATGATGATGATGATGATGATGATGATGATGATGATGATGATGATGATGATGATGATGATGATGATGATGATGATGATGATGATGATGATGATGATGATGATGATGAGATGATGATGATGATGATGATGATGATGATGATGTGATGATGATGATGATGATGATGATGATGATGATGATGATGATGATGATGAGATGATGATGATGATGATGATGATGATGATGATGATGATGATGATGATGATGATGATGATGATGATGATGATGATGATGATGATGATGATGATGATGATGATGATGATGATGATGATGATGATGATGAGATGATGATGATGATGATGATGATGATGATGATGATGATGATGATGATGATGCAGATGTGATGATGATGATGATGATGATGATGATGATGATGATGATGATGATGATGATGATGATGATGATGATGATGATGATGATGATGATGATGATGATGATGATGATGATGATGATGATGATGATGATGATGATGATGATGATGATGATGATGATGATGATGATGATGATGATGATGATGATGATGATGATGATGATGATGATGATGATGATGATGATGATGATGATGATGATGATGATGTGATGATGATGATGATGATGATGATGATGATGATGATGATGATGATGATGATGATGAGGATGATGATGATGATGATGATGATGATGATGATGATGATGATGATGATGATGATGATGATGATGATGATGATGATGATGATGATGATGATGATGATGATGATGATGATGATGATGATGATGATGATGATGATGATGATGAGGATGATGATGATGATGATGATGATGATGATGATGATGATGATGATGATGATGATGATGATGATGATGATGATGATGATGATGATGATGATGATGATGATGATGATGAGATGATGATGATGATGATGATGATGATGATGATGATGATGATGATGATGATGATGATGATGATGATGATGATGATGATGATGATGATGATGATGATGATGATGATGGATGATGAGTGATGATGATGATGATGATGATGATGATGATGATGATGATGATGATGATGATGATGATGATGATGATGATGATGATGATGATGATGATGATGATGATGATGATGATGAGGATGATGATGATGATGAAT